ATAAAGAAGAAAAAGGAGGAAGCACCTTCAAAGAAGGTGGATAAGAGTACGGAGGATAAACTTAAGCAAGAATGTCAAAAACTGGAGCAAAAGGCAGCGAGGGGATCAACAATGGTCATCAGAGTGGCTCAAGGCTTCGTAAGGAGGTTGATCCGGACGTTCGCCACACAAGGGTCGTAGTTGCAAAGGCTACAAAAATGGAAGACCTCCTAATTGAAATCAGAGGCGACTCCAATAAAGAGGCCTTCACCGCGGAGGTTTCCAAAGCAGTGGAAGGTATGGGTAAGGTATAGTCCGTGGACTATACCTTATCCAAGTAGAAGAAGTCCAACAAGTGTTGGAAAATGTCCTGGAGAAGTCAGAAAGCAGGAAGGTGACGGTCCTTGGACCAAACCGGCGAGAGATGAAGCTCGCGGTTGTAGTGACCGACCCAGAGAAAGTGAAAAGGCTGCAAGAAGTGGGACGCATAAAGATTGGCTTTATGTCGTGCTCAATCAGGAAGAAAGTAATGGTTCCTAGGTGTCATAGATGCCTAGATTATGGCCACATATGGAAAGAATGTAAGGCGGCAGACAAATCGACTGCGTGCTTCAAGTGCAGAGAAGTCGATCATAAGTTCGCAAACTGTAAAAGAGGCCCAAGCTGCTTCCTCTGTAAAAAAAGTATGACGATAAGGCAAATGTGAACCATATTGCTTGTAGTAATGGATGCGGAGTTTTCAGGATAGCCCTCGAAGAGGCGAAGAAGACTCTCGCAAGAACAAAAAGTAAGTAGGAGGAAACTTACAAAAGGTAGCTGAGTCAGAAGAACATTGGCGGCATGTCGAGAACTTCTTAATCTCGATTATGATCAGAAAAGACCCCGACGGCCGCCAAAAGCGTAATTTAAATCAGCTTTTAATTCGTTTGTTCCGTTTAGTTTAATTTATTTTGTGATTTGTTCTTTTACTATTTTAATTTATTTTGTGATTTTTATCTGTCCTTTTACAATTTTATCTATTGACTTTAAATATATGTCTACTTTTTTTTGTTTCTGTTTTTTACATCCGTTTACAATTTTATCATTTGACTTTTTACACTTTTTTAACATTTGTTTCTTCATTGTTGTGCTGCAAATTTCGCTTTGACATTGAAATAGTTTTAAATTTTAACTATTGACGCAGAAGAACCGCAGAAAAAGAACAAATTCGCAATAGCGACAGAGTTGGAGCGCCGCCCTCGAAGGCTAAAATGTCTTATGACCGTTCCGAGGGAGGGTAAGGAACTTCAAAAGAAGGGTTACGGGTTTTAGTGGGTTGGGGCTGGCAGTAGGACACCAGCTTATCAAACAACTTTTATTTTATAAAATTATTATATGATATTATCACTCGGTTGTTTTAAATATTTAATAAACATTGAATTTAACGATTATTCCAAGTCAAGTGGCTGACTCCTGACTCGGAATGATCGTTAAATTCAATGTTTATTAAATTTTTATTTTACTTATTTTGTTTTATTTTTTTTAACTCCACATAATCTTGGAGTGAGAAATCCAAGCTATCTGTAGGCAGATTTCCCAAAATTCCCTAAGCAAAAAAATAAAAAAAACATTATCTTATAAATTTCAAATTGTTTTACCTAACTTTCTTCATTTTGTTACCCTACCTATTCGCGAAACAAAACATTTTTTTATCCCACATGCACAAAAATGTCGCTTTTAGATAGCTGACGACAGAGAGTAAAGTTATTTTTTTGTTCGACAGTATAAAATTGAACTGTTTATACAAGTCGAACAAGTGAATGACTTTTACTCCTTGTCGGCTGCTATCTGAAATTACCACTTTTGTGCATTAGAAATAAAAAATTTCATAAGTAACATGGAAACATATGGCTGCCTTTGTCCCCTTGTTGCTTAATATACTATTTTATTGCCTGTTTTGACAACGTTCTCCTGGGGCGACTTGTTTCTCGTATTCTCTGAAAATTTCAAATTTGGATAGAATCATTGAAGACGACGTTCGTCAGTTAGCCTGCAAGCAGACTTTCGTCGTGGTGAAAACCACTTGTTATACAGGTCCGAATTAATTGTCACTAAATGCCCGCTCTGGTCAACACTTTTGTTCTGTGGTTTCTTTTGTTTGATTTTGTAGCAGAGGAGTTAAATTTGGTGACTAATTTCCTAACAGTGGACGGCGAGGAAGACACGGCTCAACAAATCAGAATAAGGAAGCAGAAAGCTGTTCTTAAAGTCGTATAGGTCTTGTTGCTTTTCCAGTTATTACGCTACTTATTTTGGCGTAAGAATACACGAGTTTTTTTTATAGAATTGTATTAATTATTTATTTAATTTATTATTAAATAATTATGTTATTTTTTTGTCTCGAGTTCAACCATGTGTTACCTTAGTCACCGTTTTATCTCATTTTATTTTCTGAATTTTATTACTAATTATTACCTGTTACACAAGTTAATAACCCCTAAAATTTATTTAAAATACACATTTTAGCTTTCCCCTGTTAGTTTATTCGCTACCCTTTTAAGTGTCCCCTTATCTTTTTATTTCTTTTTTTGACTGAAACTAATCGTTATTAATATTTATGTAAAAATGTCTAATTGGCAGTTGTCGTACATTATGTCTTTGTATAATTCGCATCTTAGGTAAAACCCAATTGTAAAAAAGTGAATTTTTTTTACAATATATATTATATTTCTTTTAATTGCTAAGTATAATTTCTTCGAACCTAGACGCTCTGATCCTTTGGCCATGTGGTCCTAGCTAAATGACAATATCCCTAAAATTTATTTATTTTACAACCCGAATTCTTTTGCTTTTATTTTGATTCTATAATTCTAATTTTTTGTTGTTGATAAAATTGAAAGTTGATTTATTTTAAGATTACGTTTTATTTTAATTTTGTTTAACTAAATGTGACGATTGCTGAAGAATTAACCTGATGGTCTCGTTTCTCCAGAGTCCAAGCATTTAATATTATTAATATTTTAAATTGTGATTGTTGAGGAATTGACCTGGTGGTCTCGTTTCGTCAGAATCAGGTACTTTAAATTTTGTTAATTTCTAAATGTACCTTAACCGTAACATATATAAAAATTCACATGTATTTACAAACTTATATCTCAATTGGGCATACACAATAACTCAACACAGACTAACTTTATTTCTTAGATGGACATATTACAAAATTTATATATTTATTATGATTTTATAACCCTTTGGACACAGAGATGCCTTAAACAGGTTTTTTTGTCATCGAACATCTTGGAACAATGATCGTAATGCCTCGGAGACATTATAAGGTTCACTAAAAGACGTCTTTAAGACATTCATATTTGGCCCAAACGCTTCTAAAAGTCATCCAAAAGTAAGTCTAAAAACGTTTCTTCACATTCCTTCAGATCTTCTTTAATAGTCATATTTCCTTAACAATATTTTCTAAATTAAAACACAGTAATATTGTAGTAAACTTGAAACATTGTACCTTAAGCATCTCAGTCGTTCAAAAAAAATAAAAAAATGTTTGCAAAGTTTACGAAATCACTTGTCAATAAAATGAATTTAACTGAAAAATATATGTCACGTAAAAATGTTCCCGGGAAAGCACTTTTAGGAAATTCCAGTAGAAAATTCCCATTCGAAATTTGGTTTTTAATTTTTTATCAAAATTTAGATGAATCTTTTTGCAATTTGACGAAAGAAATCAGTTTCTGTAATGAGTTCAGTAGATTTCGAGAAAAGTGTCTCACCGTTTTCAAAAATGTATTTTCGAAAAAGAAGCATTTAAAATTTTCGTAACCTCTAATGCACTGATTTAGGAAATAGTAATCAAAATTGCAAGAACCTCTTTTTTGCGTAATTCTTAAAAAATGTTTAGGGATAGTAATTTTATAATACTAAAAAGAAAATTATTTCCGAAATTTCAGGGTCGCTGATTTCGAATATGGTGTCAGTTTTCAAAAGTTCAAAATGGCGGATCCAACATGGCGGACGAATTTTTAAAATTACACCATTTTGCTTGAAACTTGTTACTTAGGGGTTTTCAGGGTCGCTGTTTACGAATATGATGTCAGCTTTTGAGGATTCAAAATGTCGGATTTAATATGGCGGGCGAAGTTTTAAAAATGTTACAAAATGGTCGAATACTTTTTAAAAGTATAATTTTTCTTGCTCGATACTTGTTACAGAGGGTTTTTAGAAGTCGATGATACCGATTTTGAAAGTAAATTGAATTTTTACATAAACTGCAGTTTAATATCAAACAAGTTTTAGAAGAATGTAGAAACTGAATCGTAATATGCCTTTATTCATAATTGGATCATCCAAATTGAATTTCTTAAAAGTGACATCAAATTTGTCATCACCGATCTCGAAAACCTCCGACTAACAAGTTTCATGTAAAATGGAGAAACTTTTAAAAATTTGTCCGCCATATTGGATCCGCCACTTTGGATTTTTGAAAACTAACATCATATCCGGTATCAGGGACCCTGAAAACCCCCGAGTTACTAGTTTCAAGCAAAATGTTGTCGTTTTTAAGAATTCGTCCGCCATATTAGATCCGCCGTATTTAATTTTTGAAAACTGGTATCATATTCGTAACCAGCAAACCCGAAAACTTGCAAGTAACAATTTTTAAACAAAATGATGTAACTTTTAGAAATATATCTGCCATATTGACCATTAGAAAGTTTTGTTGAAATCTAGAGAAATTTTATTTCCGTATTTTAGTTACTTTTTTAAAATTGTAGCCGCAGTAAAAGGGTTAAGCAAAAAAAAATTTTTTTTGAAGTCTTTGACCAGAAAGTCTTTTTAATCCGATGTCCAGAATATTTTTGTTTAACTTCGTCAAAGAGCATTCAGGAATACTTGAAAATTTACCTTCTCAGACAATACTAATACAAAATGTAAATGTAAAATCACTCTGTGAAATTTATTGAGAAGAATAATGGGCTTATCGATAATGTTCAATGGTAGATTATATTGATTTTTCTCCGTAATTAGCATACCTTGAACTTGAGAGCCGGCGAGTGAGCGGTGGAAGTTGCTAATATTGGTTGGTATTGAAGTTGTTGTTGAAGTAGGGGCTCGACTTGTAAGTTCAGGGGTTGATGACAAGGGGTTGTTTGAATTTTGAAGATGGGGCGAGTTGATTTGGTTGTGTCCAGGAAGTGGAAGGAGTGTTTGCCCATCTCCGTGAGCTGCAGAAACTCCATAGTTCCTTCGAAAATTACGCTGTTGAAAAGATGGTTTCCTGCTTCTATTGATAGTCCTGCATCGTTTCTTCGGATGTGTACTGCATCAACCCCATGCACATTCATTTTATATTGTGTTTCAACTATAGAAGCCTCCAAAACTCTTCTGATTTTAGTTATTTGTAAATATTTAAAAATTCTCTATTATTTATGATTTTAAAGAAATTAATTCCCCTAGTAAAATAGGTTCTTATTTCACAACAGTAAACATATATAGTGGATTTAGTACATCAAAAGTTTTATGTTTAACGTATCTTTTACATTTCATTTCATATCATCAACATAAAAACTTTCAAGAGTGAAATGAAAATCACTAAAATCTATTATTCTAAAAATATTTATAAAAAGCATAAATGCATCAATGAATTCATGAAAAACCATAAGCGCTATTGTTATTCCATATTCCCAATAAAAGGTAAATATTTTAAAAGATTTGTTTTGTAGATTGACATTAAATATATGTAAGTTATGTTAATTTATATTATTAAAATAAAATATCAGATTCATAAACATTGTTAAATTTCACATGAAATGTTACTTTTAAATCTGTTAAATTTAATTTTTATATAATTTACTTTAAATAATTTTTATTAAATAGAAATGAATTATCATCGCAAACGGATTTTTACTTTATTTTTACTTAAATTTCTTAAGATGACGTTTGAGCATCATCTTAAATTAACTTCATCTGTAATATGTATCGTTATTTCATAGCAGTCAAGCTTATCAAAAGTCAAAGTCAATTGGATTTTTACATTGAGCTTTAAAGTGGAAAATCGCATCGACTTTGACACCCCTTAAGGGTGCACCAGAACAAGGGCAGTCAGCCTCACTTAACCTTGGATTTAACCAACATCAAATACATATTCAGGGACCCAAAAACTTGCGAATAAGAAGTTATAAGCAAATTGCTTCAGATTTTTAAAAAATTATCTGCCATATTAGATACACAATTATGAATTTTGAAGAAGTAAGATCAGATTAGTAACCAGGGACCCTAAAACCTTCCGACTATTAAGTTTCAAGCTAATACAATGAATTGAAAAAATTAATACGCCATATATTACATCCGCCATTTTGAGTTTTGAGAAACTGACCTCGAATTCATAATCAGCGTCCCTATAAAAACCTCTAAAAACAGGTTTGGTTTTTGAAAATAGTCCTTCCCTTCCTAGGACATTAAATGGTTAAGTTTAAAATTATTACAACTTCTGACATTATCATAGACAAATTCAACATAATTTTTAGCAAAAAGGTGCTATTTAGGTCTCAATAAAAGATAATTTTTTTATTTAATTGAGATTACAGAATAATTATAAAAATTTTGAAAATATTGAGCAAAGAAGTTATAATCAGGGACCTTTAAGAAAATTTAGTACCTATTTAGTTTCTGAGATGATCAAAATTTAATTAACTAAATAAGTTTAGTTTTATATCCACCAGAAAAATTTAATGTCGACCCAAAACTAATTTCTCAAAATAAATTTAGTTTTATGTCGACGTGAAACTAAATCAACAAATTGAAATTATTTTAGAATCGATTAAATTTAGAAACTGGATTCAAAAATGCAAATCTGAATTACTTTAGGGTAAATTCAAAATAAATGTCATAGGAACTCAATTATTTATATTGTTAACAAAAAAACCACAGCAAAAAACAAAATATGTAAAGAAATAATATAAGAAAAACTTTAATGATAACATATAGTTAGTATAACGAGTCTATAGAATCGAATAATAATAGATAAAGTGAAATCGATTTGCATTTACATTAATTTTTCAAATATTTTGTTTTTTGTAGTGATTTTAAGACTAAAACTAAATAATCAGGTTTTCAAATTTTTAACATTTCTCGACTTTAACCCCTTGGCAGTCGATGACGTGTATACACGTCATGGTGCAGGTGGGCTCAAACTGTCGATGACGTGTATAGACGCAAGCCGATTTTTGGCTACAAAAACACACAGATTTGTCCACAAATTGATACTCAGGGGTTTTCGGGGTCGCTGATTACGAATCCGTTTTCAGATTTTAAAAATTCAAAATGGCGGATCCAATATGGCGGACGACATTTTCAAAAATTTATCGGATTCACTTGAAACTTGTAACTCAGGGGTTTTCGAGGTAGCTGATTACGTATCTAATATCAGATTTTGAAAATTCAAAATGGCGGATCCAATATGGCGGACGACATTTTCTGAAATTCATCGGATTCACTTGAAACTTTTTACTCGGGGGTTTTCAGGGTCGCTGATTACGAATCCGATTTCAGATTTTAAAAATTCAAAATGGAGAATCCAATTTAGCGGACGACATTTTCAAAAACTCGTCCGATTCATTTAAAAATCGTTACTCGGGGGTTTTCAGAGTCGCTGATTTCGAATATGACGGTTCGAATATGGCTTGCGCCATTTTAAAAAATTTATCAGATTTACTTAAAAGTCTGTTGTTACTTGGGATTTATTGATGTCGTAGATTAAAAATGTAATATCGGTTTTGAAAATGGCGGATCCAATATAAGAACAAACAAACAAAAATTTTAAAAACAAAATAAATAAAGGAGAGTAAAATCCGACCGCATACCTCCACGTGGTAAACTCTGGGGTCGTAACTAACGTAGTATACTTAACAGCTGACTGCGGGGGAAAATTTTGTATTTATTATCGTTTCAAAAGTTTTTCGTAATCAGCGAAAACACTCTAGTAACGAGTTTCAAATGAATCCAATGAATTTTAGAAAATTTCATTTGCCATATTGGATCCGCTATTTTGATTTTTCAAAATCTGAAATCGGATTTGTAATCAGCGACCCTGAAAACCCCCAAGTAAAAAGTTTCAAGCGAATCCGATGAATTTTAGAAAATGTTGTCCGCCATATTGGATTCACCATTTTGAATTTTAAAAATCTGATATCGGATTCATAATCAGCGACTTCAATTACAATAGTATGCTCGTTTGCAGAAATTTTAGTTTTCCAAAAAGTTGTCGACATTTTGAGCCCATTTATGAGATTTTGGTCTTGACTGCGAAGGGATTAAAATTTATGTCCTAAAATCTATATCAAATATAGGAATGGAAATTTCTAGATTTTTAAACATCATTATTTAAACTATTCGTTCTACACTGAGAAAAAAGCTGCCAAAGTGAAAACTTCTGAAAAGGTGTAATTTAAATTTTAAGATAAATCATTTACATTTTTGCCAATTTTTTACAATACAATTTATTATAAAAATTTTAACGCAGAAAAAGTTAAATCCTACTTTTATCTACACAATAGCATATTTTAAGAACTTAAATTTTTATTTTTATTTAACTTATTTTTTGATAAGCTTAAATACTATGAAATAATCGCACTGAGAGCTAGACGAGGTATTTAATAACTACGCTTAGCTCTTAGCTCACTAAACTTTCAAGGCAGTCCAAAAATTTTGCCGACCTTAGAAATTTCATGCCAATCATCAAAAGATCAAAAACAGTATAAGATTTTGAATTTTTATATAAACGAGTTTTTATATTTTATTAGCTTTCAAATTTTTTATTGTAAAGTTTAAAATTATAAAAATACTATCTAATAAATGAAAATTATTAAAGATTTATGGAAACAATAGAGGCAATTATTATTGAATTAACATTTCTCCTAAATGATTATAGTGTTGCCACCTATAGTATAAATTTTTTTAGTGCCCTGAAAATTATTAGTGCAGCAACTGTACTACCCGTGGTCGGAAGCACAAAAAGCAAAAAGATACTGCTTGTCGATTTAGGCCAAGCGTTATATGAAAATCTAATAGCTGTACTACCAATAAATGCAGCAGCAGTACAATAATAACGAATAGACGCTCATGTACAACATGTGTCTCAAAAGCGTGCAGGAGACAAAGGCAACTCTAAGTTTGAAAGGTGATTAGAAAGTTTAAAATGAAGAACAAAATTTTTATTTCTAAACATAAAATTATGATTTTAAGTATTATCGTAGAAAAAAGGATTATTAAGTAAGACAACTTCTTAATTGATTCAACGGCTTTTGGACAATTGGACTGATTGTTTAATCATCTAATGTATTGGGCCAATCAACGAAAACTATTTTCAAAGCTAAAAAATATTTGTGTGAGTAAATGATAGTTTTTTGAAATACTACTTTATTAAATTTTTCAGGAATGGTAGGTTAATTACGGTCAAGTTTATATAAGAACGATGTTTACTATTGATTCGATACTGTTAAAAATATTAGTCATCTTAATATACACTAATTACTGAAATTTATTTCTCTTTTGTATTAAATATCGGATATTTATAAATCTTAAATTTAAGTATATAATGTATATTAAAATTCACCACCCATATTGCATATTTGCTTTATACACATGTATGTTAAAATTAATCTTGATTTTTAACAGTCATCAAATTATTTAAATATTTATGATTATGTGACTAGCTTTTCTTTTTTACTGGGTACTTACAATTTACCTCTGTTCAAAGAGTGAAGGTTGTACAATTCTTGAAATATAACGGTTGGGACTTTATTACAAAATTTAACCAGTGGGCACAGTTGTTCACAACAGGGACCCATTCCAAGACAAATATTAATATTATATTAATTTCATTGACAAGTGGGTTCGTAAACTTTGTAGAGGTTCCTATCTGTCTTCTACGGCTGAGATGCTTAAGGCGCAGTACTTCAAAATAAATTTAATACAACATTACTGTCTTTCAACTTAGAAAATATGATAAAAGAATTGTCTATTTGAAGGGCTGGCTGCAATAAGAGGACGAACGCGTGCTTGAAAGGGATAATAGCAGTTAGGTAGCAGTGAGCGGCTCAAGGCTTGTCACTGCTACCCGACTGGTAGTATCCCATCCAATTCTCGCGTTCGTTCCCTTATTGCAGCCAGCCCTTCATTTAAGAAAATCTGAAGTGATGTGGAAAGGACGTCTTAAAGATGTCTTTTGGTCAATTTTTGGACCAGACATAGGATGTCTTATGATGTCTCAGAGACATTACCATAATTGTCCTCGGACAAAAAAGACATCTTCAAGACGTCCCTGTGCCCACTGGGTAGTTTATGTGCTTCTAATTGCACTCACATCAAGTCTGGTCATCATTAATAATACACTAATTCTACAAAAGAAAATACAATAATTAATCTGAAAAAATTGACCCACAAATCTGGCAATAGTGAGTACTTGATAAATATAGAACAACAAATAAAGTTTATTCTGTTTGAAGATGAAAGATTTACGGACAAAAATTATGTTTCACTGAAAGGTCCAGCTTGATGATAAAATGGTAAAATCAACTCAACGCGTTTGCAAAATATGCTTCTAGATCCTATTGGAGAAAGGGCTTTAATCTGTACTTAGCTTCAGGTGCTTCAATAAAAAATGAGTGCTCTCTAATTAGCTCTCGAACAACGTCAGAAATAATAACGAGATTAGAGGTTAACTGGAGGTAACTGAAGGTGGAAATTTAAACAATTAACAATATAAGTGAAATATTTAAGTTAGAGAAGCAAGTACAATATTTCATTCTAACAATATTAATAATCATTTTGACAAATCTTAAAAGGTATTGCACTGTCTTTCTAAAAGATAAATCAAAAGTTAACAATTGTTCCAGCTGTTCAAGTCTCTGTACAATTAAGTGACTTACTCTCTGTCTAATCCGATACCCTGAGAAAGTTGATAAGAAACCGAAATCACAAAGATTAAAAACACAAGCTTTCAGTTTTAAGAAGTTATCTTAGAACAACACTGAATAGCGAGTTAGCGACCACTCAACAATAAGCAAAACATTCAAAATGTTGGTTTATGATTGTCTTCTTACTAAAATAGCTTTTGACCAATTAAAGTTCTTTTCTGTAATGTTTGCGGAATAAACATTTTACATGACATCAGTACCAACATTAATTCTAAATATTTGCACCTGTAAAACATAGAATGATACGGCATTTGACAGACTAGCACTTTTAAGTACTTCTAATCTTGAGTTATACTTATACGATTGCTTATTCAAGGAATTTCATTGCTGTGTACCGGGTTCCTTCAGACAGAAAACTATGTTCGTTCCAAAATCGTTTTTGAAATGTTTCATGTTCGTCAAATAATATTCCTAAACATTTTAAGAACGTTTTTGGAATGAACATGGTTTATTGCCCAGACGGATACGTGTTAAATAGGATCAAAAAAATACAATGATATATTTGTAACAATTTAACTCTTATCCGGCACCCAGCAACGACATTCCTCGCGCAGGCAACATAAGAATGTTCGCACAAGCATCCACGCTGGGATACATATTCTATAAATTAGTTCATTTATCTCATATTAACTTATCTAACGTAACTTTGTTTGTTATAACAGCGAAGGGTTATAATCCTTAAAAATGACGAGAATCATTTTCAACGTAAGTCTGTTAATAGCAATTATGTAATCAATTTCTAATAATTAGTTATTTTTTTCTGAAGGAGACAGGTTTAGATGATGAAAGATAACAATTTTTTTATTGGATTAAGTAGTAGTAGTAGTAGGAGTATTCAAAAATGTGTTTTTACATTATAGAATAAAAGTTTGTTTTCTTTTTAAAGTTGAAAGTGGTAGAATGGTCGTTAGTTGAATTGTCTTTAAATATCCGTTGGTGTTCTCTTATTTTGTTATTGCTTTTTAATATTAAAAATTATTGTCAATGAGAAAAAGGGATATTAAGCTTCATTATCTAGATATTAATGGTCAATATCTGTATAACCGTGAAATATATAAACATTTTAGATTTTCAAATTTAGTATCTACAGATATTAGAAAATACTTATGTTAAAACATAACCTCACATTTACAGATTATATTTTTTAACATCTAAGATATTAAACTATATGATCTAGATGGTAAGCATTAGCATACTTTCTTAATATCTAGTATAATTAAGATTTTTAATATCCATTTTTCTTCATGTAGAGACATTTTAAAATTTTAAACTGTGACGACTCGAATGTGGCTTCGCGCGGCAGCGAATGAGAGAGAAAACAGGAACGAATTCATGCGGGGGAACGATGAACTTTTGAGTTTCTTTATATTACTCGTGAAACATCATTATTTATTATTCTCCAGCAAAAATTCGTTTCTGTTTTCTCTCTTTTGCTGACGCGCTAAGCCAGAATCGAGTCGTCATAGTTGAATTTCAATGCAGCAATTGGTCGAAACACTGCTTCACATTTTTAATGATATATCGAAGACGGATGATCCTTTTTTAATATTCGAAGGCTTATTTTTAAGCTGAAATTCTAACGAAGATTTCTGTGTTTTTAGAAAAATTTTATCTAAATTTTTCTAGATTTTTGAAAAAGTTGAAGTCAAGAGACAAAAAATGAGAAAATTTGATAATTTTATTATTTCTTTCTCACTCTACAACTCAAAAAATAATTAACGAAATGACTTCAAAGACGGGTTATTTTACGCAGAATTTAATCAGCTTTCTAACCATATTTAAGTTTTTTTTGTACCTCCTTTTATTTCCGAGATATGATTGAAAAAGTGATGGCATGTTTTTTCATAGAGTCGAATGTAATCGTCCTGATACTTTTGGACGGTAGTGTATATCTATATGGTTGTCGATAAATAATTATCAATTTTTAAATTAAATTTTGCTCTGAAAAAATAAGCTGCGTGCCCGAATGCTCTCTGAATGATGATTCGAACCCCAGTTAATAGCTGACTTTCACGGGACTTCTGACAATTAATGCGCCTTGCCAACACAGCCTGGACGAACAAGCATCTTATATTCCCAGAGCAAGCACATACACTAGTCAAGAGCTGTTTACTTAATGTTAGAATTTTTTGCCCATTGAGAATTATAATTATAAAAGAAGATTTCGCCTTTATCAGAAAATTATTAATTTAAAAAAGTATAAAAGAGAATATACTTTAAAAGCATACTGCGAATATTTAACCACATATGAGAATATGTTAAATTTAAAAGCTGCAGCTGTTGTAACTATAAATTATAGTTTTTAAAGTGGCAAAAGCTAATTTAAAAAAACACGATAATTTATTAGGGTGCTTCTTATTTGAGTGATTTTTCCAAATCTTTGGTCTCACTCTAAATTACATATTTATCAATTAAATTTTTAGTTAACTAAAGGCACATGTTAAAATTGTTCTTTTTCCTTCAAACTATAAGGAAAATTTATTTTATAGATACTATCATTAAGTTTTTAGAGTGAGACCAAAGAGTTTGAAAAATCTCCCAAATAAGAACCACCCTATTACTTATAAATATTTCTAAATAGAATTAAATTATAAAGATGGTTCTCATAATTGTCCCATATGACACTATTCCGTCAATCTGAACAAAATATTTTCACCCAGAAGACCATGAAATACTTAACCTATTAATGCCTTTATGATCTCTAATTGAACATTCTATAATGAAAGTTGTAAATCCTAACACAATGATGACAAAGTTTTGCTGTGTAAGTGCATAGATGGACACATCGTATTTGTGTTAAAAAGGAGAACTTCGCGAGCAAAGATATTTTACACTGAAGTTTGGTTTTTTCACAGTCAAAGGTATATTTTATTATTTTACTCAACATCTTCTATCAATTCATGATTTAAATTTCATCTAATTTATAACGTCCTCTTTTTCGACTGTAATTCGACGTGTTTTTTTAAAACAGCGATATGTGAAACAAAACACATTTTAAAACTCACATGCATCAAAAAGAATAATATTTTAAAGAGAAGTACGTACCGAAGAAAACGTGTGATATATTCAGGCCAATTGTCAGGAAACATCACCAGGAAAAATCCAATTGCAATTAGAATCATTCCTGCCAACTTCATTCCAACGAAGTGAGCGCCATACAAAACAACATCTAATGCTAAAAGTTTTAAAATTATTGTTAACTAAACAGTTTTTCTTATTATTATTTACATATGTTAAAAAACTTTGTTTATGGAAACCATACTTTTGACTTTCTTTTGATAAGAAGTGTGTTTACAGCATTGTTAACTTTTTAGTAATTTATATTCATAGGACTTACCAGCTGAAACAGGTATAGCTGTTATTAAGCCTAGTGTGATGAATAGGTCATAAGTCAACGCAATGCTAAAATTCCCCAACATGTTAGAAACTGAAAGTAAGAAGAATTATTTAAATGTGGATAATTAGAAACCACAAGTAATTTTTAATCGTCCTTATATTACGTAATGCTTAATGGGTAAGGGAGTTCAAGCTGTTATGTGGGGAGAGGAGATGGTCAAAATTTTCAAACATTAGCGTTACGTAATATCATATAGACGACCCCTTAATGATAATCCCACATAACACGACATTTTGCGGTTAGTTTGCTGTACAAACTTGCAAAGTTTGCTACTAACTTGCTTTGCAAAGTACCTTCAAAATATTGTGCAATGTGGGTGCGTGCACTAATTTTAATTAATTAATTCGAATGTGCATTTAAGAAATATAAATTCACTATTAAAAATTAAAAAGTTTAGCTTCCTTAAGACGAATTATTTTTAATACTTTAAAATATATCTTTTAATTAGAATTGAGATTAATATATCGTTATATTTACAATCTTTAGGTTATAATGAACGTAGAAAGTAAAAAATTGAAGCCAGATTTTTTGATGATTTTATTTTTAATTAAAATTAAACTGGGAGTTTGTAATTTTAAATATAATACAAACGTTGAAGAAAAGTGTCACTTACTTAAATGGAGAATACTGGCAGCAAGTAATGAAGACCATGGTAATTTGGCCCAATAGATTGTTTCTGCACCCGAAAAATAGAGAGCTAAACAAACTGGCCAAAGTAATGCTGCATTGCATAAACCGATTATTGAGAAAAATAGTGAAACTTGGCCAAACGTTGTTTCACCTATTACTTTCTTGAATAATACCTGAAAAATTAGTTTACATTTATCGTTGTCTACAAACCTTATCATAAATATATGTAAAAATTAACAGCTTCGGTGATATAATGCCAATAACACTAGTTTATATCGATTTTGAACCCTATCATCAGATATCACTAGAAACACATAGCATGATTTGGAAAAAATGAATGGGATTATATAATAATCTTTAGGGATTAAAAAATTTTCTTAAAATGCTTACAAGAGAAAGGCACTAGAATAGATTGTGGATTCTACACGCGAAAATAAGTATGTGAACCGAATTTGAGCTTCCTAGGTCCAGAAATAACTCTACATTAAGATAAAAAGTAGTTTCTAAAGTTACTGGCTTGTAAATGAAAAAAAAATGTAAGACCTACTTTATAAACAGCTGATCCAGCAGCAGCTGCAGCAGCAAGTACAACACCAGAAAGGGTTGGACTTCCAGTTATTCCATCCATATATGCCAAAAGAGCTATCCCTGTATCACAGAGAATAACTGCTACAATCTGTTGAAAAATTTTATAAGATTTAAAAGAAACTGTCGAAGACACTACTTAGACAAATAAAAGACAACATGTAAATTCAATTTCATATTTAAAACAACGCAATGTTAGTATAAACTAATAATAAAAGTAAATGTTACTCACTCTTACTCCAACAAATTGTTCATGAAGAATAACCCAAGATAAGAGATAAACGCATGCTACGTTTGTAGCGAAAAGTGCCATTACATCTGTGGCAAACAGAATTCGTAGAGAATGAATATACATGTAATTAGTTGCAACCCAAAGTCCACAAAATAGGCTACACCTGGTTAAAAATCTTCCTCCAGTCAACCCTTTTTCTCGAAAACCTCGGAAGCTTTCAGCTATTATTTCAGAAGGATTTGAACATTTTCTTGTAGTGGCTTGGCATAAAAGATAAATTGGAAAATATAGTACTGCAAAATTGGTGCAAAACCATGTTGTGAAGAACGGAGCATTGTATTGAGGGACAAGCTGTAATTAAAACAATTTTTATTAAAGGTATTACATGCTTTTTTTATAGTGAATGATAAAAACGATATCTAACATGTTCATGATGAAGTCCTGTGACGGAATTATTATCAGTTACAGTATCCTTTATTATTTCGGGTTTATAAAAATATAAGTATTTTATACAATGAGTTGCTCCAACCCAGCTTGCAGTGACGCATATAGTAACACATACTCCAAAATATATCTGTACAAAAAAGAGTTTGCTTACAAATTTTATTACCACTAGCAGAGAATTAAGGTACAAATAAAAAAATACTTTTTTTGCAGATTCAGCACAACAAGACGAGTAACAAGTAGCTAATGAAAGGCGATGGCGCTGTCGATAAGTTACCGACGGACAAAGTTGCCCTTGCACTTGACCAATGTTACCAACTCCGCCACTGCCTAATCTTCTTCCAACATCACTTTCATAATCATTAGATCTACATCCTATTCCTGAATCTCCACATCCACTATTATTTTTGAAGTTTTGTTGCTCTGTTCCTAAAATAATAAGTTGTTATATCGCACTTTCTCATACAATACAATGATGGTAATGTCTTTCACTGAACCGGATCCCACCCTGGGTGGATCATCCCAAATTAATGTGACCGCGTCTGAGTTTCTTATGTACTTTTTATCGATGAATCCGATTTTATTGGTTATGGTAGTGAGTCAGTTTTTCCACTCAATTTTCTCCAATACATTTTTTCCACTAATCAATTTCTCCACTACATTTTTTCCAATCCATTTATTCCACTACCAATTTTTTCCAAAAAGTAATTAAATAATGTAACAATTTTTCAAAATTTTATATATGACAGCACGGCAACGACATTCCCGATATGTTCGGCACTTCCAAAAAATTCTACCTTTTTTTTCTACACTTTTCGTAAAAAGAAATTCATCTATGTGTAGAAAAGGATTTTTTGTCCCACTGTACACAAGTTCCATAACCGTTTTACTCAAAATTTAGAATTTTTAAAAAGATCTAAAGATAGTAGATACTGCACGATTTTGACATTAAACCAATTGAAGTTGACTGAAAAACAAAAACTCAAACGCGGCACGATTTTGACATTAAACAAATTGAATAACAAATTGAAGTTGACTTTAGTTTACCATTCAACAATTTAAAAAATGTAAAAAATAATTAGTAAAAAAATTGTGATTGGAAAAAAGAATAAGTAGAGAAAAAAATTAGTATAAAAAAAGGTTATTGGAAAAAAAATTAGTGGAAAAAAAGTTTATTGGAAAAAAGGTTAGAGTAGAACGGGGTGAAATAGCCACATTTTTACATTTTAATTTATAAAATCTAAATTTAAAATTTTTTTCTCAAATTTCCAATTGGCATTGAAAGTTTAGTTATTAAGCTTGAATATCCTTGACGGAAATATTTTTTATCCCATGAAAGGACTAAGGTATAAGAGTTTTACGAAACCTCTGCAAATGGCTTTTTTGTACCACCTGGTGAAGGGAGAAAGCCACCTCGCGATTTTATCAAAATATGTTATTAATTTTGGTATTTTTATAGTTTTCCTTTATTTACATGACAAATAATCTTAGTTTTAAAATATTTTAATAAATTTTAAAGAGCTTTTTCAAGGAAAATTGAATATTATGTTAAGTTTACCTGTTTTCGATTTACACTGCCAAGTTTTTGTACCTTTTTTTAAAGTCTTCCTTAAATTTCACCACAGATGCCATATTTTGTTGCAACCGTTTTTTCGTTGTTTATTTTTTAACGCACTTTATACTATTTTCTCGTCGTGTTTAATTAATTTTATTAAGTAAACACGCGAAAATTTTGTAAAATTAGAAGGTTAGTTTAAGTAGAAAACAATATTATGAATTTCACATAATATTCAATGGCTTTTGTCCCTGGCTTTTTCACCCCCAAGACCAGTTTTTCTAAAAGCTAAAATAAATTTTAAATTCAGTTCAATTTCCAAAAATTAACATTGAATACGTTTTGAGTATAGTTTTCTCCTTATGTACAAACATTTACTTTTATTACCCGTTCACTTAAACAGGTTGTAATATGTTCGAAAAGTTCTTCGAAATATTATACACAGAGCAACTAAAAAATTAAAATTACAATAAAAATTATATTAATTTAGGTACAACATCCAAACTAGTATCAAAAGTTGCGTATTAACTTATTGTATTTATATTAAAAATAGCTGATAAATCGGTTTAATAGTTTTCAAATAAAAGTCAAGTCAAATGGCTTTTTTGCACCATGGCTATTTCACCCCGTTCTACTCTATTGGAAAAAATGGAATGGATAAACTGGTGTACAATCATAACAGCAGATTATTTATAAGCAAATTATTTTACAAATGGCAAATAATAAAAACTTTAACTCCAATTTAAACAACTTTTATATGACCTACATATATGTGAAATTTTGTAGTCGTGGACATTTCATTGGTTTATGTTGCCATCCGGTTTTGGCGATGTCGAGTTTTCGCATTGGAGAGGATAAAAAAAGTGGGAACAGTGACACTTGTCGGGTCTCAAACGACGACACTTTATGAGACATGACACTTACTGAATATAACACTTTGCGAGATCTGACTATAATAAACCTGACTGATCATAAATTTTGTGTAAAAATAATTTGTATTATCTATTTTGTAAAAGGGTTAATTATTTTGTATAAGGTTAATTCGATGAAAAAAAATATTGAGAATTGACCAAGTGAATGAGAATCTCCATGGGCACCTCCAAAATCCGAAAATATTGCAAATTTAAAGATAAACAAATTTCAGATGATTATTTAATAAAAAAAACATGAATCTTTAGACTAACGGACACTCAAGTACTCATAACTCCGTCAATTTTTCTCCGATTTATTTGAAATTTTTACACAAAATTCTGAAGGTATTATACATTATGCATTCATTTCAAATTTTTTTTATAAAAATGCAAAAAAAAATTAAATATCTTACTCCCTCCTTAAAAAATTGTTGTCTTTGTAATAAACAAATAAATGAACAAAAGCTCTTTTTTAATATTATGTAAATTTAGCGACTAGATTTAACATAATTTATTGTATAGGGGTCATTTATAAAGCATGTGATACTTTACGGGTAAGGGGGGTCTGTAAAATATCATGCTCCATGTTAATCATTAATGAAAAAAGCATCATCATCGGGGGGTTAAAATTTCTGAAATTAAGTATTACATGCTTTATGGATGACCCCATATGGGACATTTCATATAAAAACAACATGTGATGTCTCAGATTTTTCTCATATTATGAGAATTGAGAGTGATTAGGGTCCTAATGAAGTATACCAACTAACAATAAAAAATTATTTTTATTTTGAAAATAACATTTTTTTGCTTTGAGATACAAAAAATTGTTCTGAACATTTTTTATGCTCAAAATATTTAACTTTCAGAAAAAATTACTAGGTATAAATAAAAATTATGAATTTTCAGTTGATTTGTTTAAACAATAAAATTTGTTTTTAATATTTAAACCCTTTCTTCCTGTTTCTCAGGTCTGAAAAAATTTATGAACAATGTTGATAATAGAATAAAACTTTCCTGAAATTTTTAGCTTGGCGTTATTTTTTGTTTTTGAGAAAAAAATCCCTAAAGATTACAATGCAAGCGCTCTGCCCATTTTAAGTTGTGAAAAACAAGAGAAGATCTATTGGATCGAAGAAACAAAAGTATCAAAAAAATGTGAAATTTCACAACAAGGTAAAAAAGTACTTTACATACAAAGAAAATATTTTTAAAAAACGAGGCTTAAACAACTAAAAATAAAGAGACTGTTTAATTGTTAATTAAGCTTTCTATAAACAATGTTAAATTAATGCATAAAAGTAAAAATACTTCCTGTAAATAGTAATTAATAATAATACTTATTGTAGATGAAATATATAATCACTTTTGTGTTCAAAAATAAAAATTGTAAAGGAATAATTTCTATATAACATAACAAAATGTGGTTGTTTATGTCAATAGATTTCATTGATAATATTCACTGGCACATTATTTATATAATAAATTTTGTTAAATTTAATCGATAAATTTACATAATCTTACAAAAACAGCTTTTGTTCATATATTTGTTTATAACAAATGCAACAATTTTTTAAGCAAAATAGATAATGACTCAACATATTGTTGGAATATTGCTACATTATTTTTGTTTTTTATTAATACTATCATATCTTTTCATAAGAATCAATATTTTTTTTAATGTCGAAAAGTTTCCTTTTTTATCTTTAATAAACAATTAACGGAACTTTTTTCAAAAAAATAAAGAAAGGATGATTTAAGGAAAATTTTATTATCTATAATTTAAAAAAAAAATTTGTCCATCAGTGAAAAATTGTGGTTCAAAAATCAATTTGTCCACAGGCTTGTTTTTTGTCCCGCTATGCTATGGAACCTTTAAAAATGAAGAAATAATAATTTTTTATAGTTTTAATTGACGTTAGAAATTAAGTTTAATATAAGGTTATATAAACACATTAATTTTATTACATTACGTAAATATCATTACCTTATAATTTAAATACGCGTGAGTATATTGAGTTTAAGTGTAACTAAACAAAAAATTTGTAAGTTTGTTTACTTCATGTAATACATAAAATGTGCTGTTTTAAATATTAACAAAGTAGGTACCTGAAGAATCTAATAAAACTTGAGCAGGACTTGTATAAGAAAGATTAGGTATATCTTCACTGAGAACTATACTAGGTCTCCGAGATCTTCTTGGATGAAATATTGTTGAAACTTCGCTAACCTCTCCACTCCCCATACTTTAAATAATTAATCGACTTTTAAATCCAAAACACTTATGGTTAATCATTTAACCTAATCGCTCATTTTTACTTATCTTAATCCATAAGCAGTACGTTTTCTTATTTTTCTCATATTTATTAATATGATCAGCATTTCCTACAAAAAGAATGAACATTTTTCATTAATTAAAAATTTTTTGCTTTAAGTCAAATTATTTTAATTAAATTTAAAAAATTTACATTATAAAGCTAAATGACTAATTTTAACTAAATTCTAAAAATAAACATAATGAAAAATAACTAAAACTCAATACTTCTATTTATTGAAACAATAATTGTTTGTATAAAATATACTTCATATCTATAAATTAAGATTTGTTTAATAAAAAACTAACATTAGATAAATGTGTTCTAACATTGTTTGTTATGATTGCCCCAACAATCACTTTGTAAATAAATTCGATAACGTCATGGTTATATATAACAGCATCTTAAATGTCAATAACGACTAACAAACAACACAGACAAAACTATTTCTACAGTAAGAGGAATTGTCAAAACAGTGAATGAAAATCATTCTCATAAATTGTGATTCTATGCACTATGTACTAGGTAATAATGCAATACTACCCTCTGACGTTTCATTGATTACTAGAGCGAGTACAAGTTGGTGGGCGTAAGTTAACTTAAGATCCGTAAAGCCATATAACTGTCTGTGTGATGCAACGCGCATGCGTTAACATATTCACAAATATGAAATAAAATTCATTATAAAATTTAACATCAACAATGAATTAAATTTTATGTAGTTTATAATTATTTTGAATAATATAATTTTAAAACCAGCTGAAATAATGCGCGCGTGTAGTTTCTGCTTTTAATGTCAATAAATATTTAACAATATCTTTTAATTTTCTTATAAAATAAAACAAAATTTTATTTCTTTTCAAGCATTTCATTAGATAACATAAATTACAAATTCTATCAGTTAAGAGAACTTTCTGGTGCATAATTGATAAAAAACACACTATTTAAACTTTTATTTAGAAAAATGTATTATAGTTATTGCAAAAATTCCTTTGCATATTGTTACATATTACAAGAAGAGAATTAGGAAATTTATTTTTTATATTTTTAGTTTATTTTTGCAACTGTAGCGGTGTCTTCTAAAGGTGTCCTTTATTCGATGAAGCAGTTTCCGGGCAACCTATTTTACACAAAAATTATAAATTCAAACTGATTGTGTAGTTTTGTAGACAAAGAATCGAATCCCAGGTGAAAATGATTTGTACCAATTTCGTTCAGAATTCATTCGGAGTTCGTTAAGAATTCGTCCAGATAATTCGTTCCGATTTCGGGTACAGAATTGATAAAAAAAAATAATCCGAACGGAATTCTGGCCGTAAAATTAATGGAGATTTTTTTTAATTCTGGTAGGAATGCGGTGATAATTCCGCACGTAAAAATTGCTGGAAATTTTTTAAAAATAATTTCCGAACGTTTTATAGATATTCAACACTACCCGTGTAGAAATTGCCATATTTAGGCCATAACATGTCATGAAACACCTTCCCAAGTCTGGCCAGACTTGGGCCCGATCTGGGAAGGTGTTTCATGCCATGTTATGGCCTACACAATGATCAAAAGATCTGGCCCCTATTTGGGCCATGGTTAAATTTCTACACGGGTACTGTCTGGTTTATCCTAAATTTCTGAACTTGTTTGTTTAAAACCTTTTTTAAACAATTAAACTATTACAATCATCCTGTAAAGTACTTAAAAGTACATTGATTAAGCCGAAGTTTAATCATGTTTTACCATATTTATAAGGAAGCAAAGTGTTCATGAAATAAAGACGAAGATAATGGCATGAATATATTAACTTGGTAGCGTTCATTTTTTTATTTTATAATCACAATTTTTGTACCAACAATTATACAAGTAGACACTTTGAATATGTGTATAAAGAATAACGCTCTTTTTGTATTTCATTTAAGGAATTACCTCGGGAAATACACTAAAAGAAATTTAGTTTTGTTTTATTTTTTAAGAAAATGAGTATTGTTAATTGGCATTTTGTTAAATATATATTAATACAAAAATTGCATTATTTTAGAATGCAGAAAACATTTTGCGAATTTTCTATATATTCTATTCTAAAAAATTATGAGTTTAATTTAAAAAAAATTGTAGAATTCCTATTTCTAATCAGGGACGCATGATTATTCCCCAAATGTCATTTTCCCGAAATGTCATTTTACCGAACTGCACTTTTGCGAATAGTCATTTTTTCGAGAAGCCAATTTTGCGAAATGTCACTTTTGCGAATTGTCAATTTTGCGAAAAGCTATTTTTGCGAATTGTCATTTTTGCGAATGGCCATTTTTACGAAAAGACATTTTTGTGAAATGTCATTTTTACGAAAAGCCATTTTTGCGAAAAGTCATTTTTACGAATTGCCATTCCTGCGAATGGTCATTTTAAAGAAATGACATTTTTGCGAATTTTCACTTTTGCGAATCGCCATTTTTACAAATTGTCATTTTTGCGAATAGTCATTTTTGCGAAAAGTCATTTTTACGAATTGCCATTTTTGCGAATCGCCATTTTTACGAATTGTCACTTTTGCGAATCGCCATTTTTACAAATTGTCATTTTTGCGAATAGTCATTTTTGCGAAAAGTCATTTTTGCGAATTATCATTTTTGCGAAAAATACAATAGAAAACTTGTAGGTCTATAAATTCACTATTGTATTTTTCGCAAAAATGACTTTTCGGAAAATTGACAATTCGTAAAAATGGCGATTCGCAAAAATGACAATTCGCAAAAATAACAATTCGTAAAAATGACTATTCGCAAAAATGACAATTCGTAAAAATGGCGATTCGTAAAAATGGCGATTCGCAAAAATGTCAATTCGCAAAAATAGCTTTTCGAAAAAATGACAATTCGCAAAAGTGGCATTTCGCAAAATTGGCTTTTCGCAAAAATGAGTATTCGCAAAAGTGCAGTTCGGTAAAATGACATTTCGGAGAAATGACATTTGGGGAATAATCATGCGCCCCTTCTAATCAGAATGCTTCAACAAAATTTTTGTTTTCCTTAGAAATAAATGTATTAAGGAAATATTTAAAAAAAAAATAAATTTTGTTTTATTTTATAAGAAAATGTTAAAAAATTGTTAACAACCAATTTCTTAAAAATAAAAATTCAAATGCAGGAAACAATGTGTTACGGAACGGCAAGGAAATAAGATAAAATTAGAAGATAGACACCAAAAATATCTTATGTTACATAACATAATAAGAAAAATATAACAAATTAATAAAATCAACATATAATGTCACCAAAAATAATTAATATTTAGTTAAAAGAAAACAAAATTTATTAATAATAAAAATGGTGAATCTCGTTCCCAGTAAAAAAGAAATATTGAGTGGAGCGTTTAGGAATTGAGTGAAGCTCTGAGCCAATACGGATTCGAGTAAAAACCGTATTGGGACATTTGACTCAATCTTTTTTTCATCCGCCGAATACTGTCTTATTTTAGCATTAAAATTAAAATCACATGACCCGAGTACACATTAAAAATTGAAAGCACAATCGTCCTGGAATGTAAAAATACCGATTTCGATAAGAAGCAGTGAATATTTGTTAAAAATTGGTAAAAGCAAAGTTTGACAAGCGCGACTGAATTTACCATGTGAATAAATGAATTGGTAAGTTTAAATGGACGAAAAGAAATCTACTGTTACGGACAGAAAGTTTCTAGAGAATTGTTAAACAATGAAATTTCATTGTTTTGTTGAATTTACCACAATTCTCTAGGAACTTTCTGTCGGTAACAGTAGATTTCTTTTAGTCCATTTCGTCCATTTAAACTTACCACTTCATTTATTCACATGGTAAATTCAGTCGCGCTTGTCAAACTTTGCTTTTACCAATTTTTAACAAATATTCACTGCTTCTTATCGAAATCGGCATTTTTACATTCCAGGACAATTGTGCTTTTAATTTCAAGTCTTGTGATTTTAATTTTAATGCTAAAATAAGACCGTATTCGGCGGATGAAAAAAAGATTGAGTCAGACGTCCCAATACGGTTTTTACTCGAATCCGTATTGGCTCAGAGCTTCACTCAATTTCTAAACGCTCAACTCAATACTTCTTTTTTTACTGGGTTCATATAATTTAATTAATTGTTAAAAATTTACTATTTCTTTGAGCGATAAAAGAAATAGTTGTGAAATCTTGTTAGTTTTTAAACAGTTGAAACTACACCTTATTGTTGATTTAGGGAAATATTAAAAGAAAAGTAAGAATTTTAGTTTTATACACTTATTTATTTATAAACACTTGAAAAATTTGTTTTAATACAATAGTCGCGAATTTAATTATTTAAATGATTAAACGGTATGTTCAAGAGAAATGGTCCTTGGCTCTTAACTTAAACAATATTATTCCGAGGATTTATACTGTTAAAAGAAAATGCGTTTTCAGCTAAATAATTGGACTGCTAAAATCTTTAAGTCGAACCTCAAGGAAAAATGATGTTCAAGAAAATAACCAATATCCAAATCTCTGAACAGTGACCGAAAAGAACTGACATAAAGATGCTGGACGACGCTCCGGGTACTCGCGTCGTTCGTTCCCACTCTCCGAGAAATTTGCGAAAATTTTAGGAAGTGGAAAAATTTTGGAAAAAGGGGAATTAAGGATTTTTATTTGCTAAGAAATAAATAGAGTAACGACCAAAAAACTTGAAAATTTCTGGTCTTAGTCCACGTGGACCAGGTATAATTTTTATACCAGGAAGGTGCAATAATTAGCAAACATGTGCTTGCGGGGGGGGGGGGAGAGTCTGCGACCCTAGAACCAGCCGAATTGCATTTTATTGCAGGGCTCAACTCTTGTCCTTTTTAATAATTTTATTACACTCTTTCTTTAAAATTCTATCTATTGCTAGATGTTATTTTAAGGATTAAGATAAAAAAAATTGGTTTGACACTATTTTCAGTTCGAGGGCTCACTCCTTTATTATAACTTAGATTTATATACTTTTTTGGAATGTTAGTACATTGAGGAAAAAGAGGAATTCCCGCAAATGATCTCAAACAAATGAGAGGAAAAACCCGAGGAACCAGATTGTCGCTCTTGCATCCTTTTTGCATAAAATTGTAAAGTTCTAATATTGAGAACGATGTAAAATTTGAATTAACAAAAATATAAAATAGTTGAAATTAATTAAATGGTTAATAATTAAATTAAAATACATTCACAACATACATTCATACAAGACAATACAAATACATTTAAAAGCATGATTAAATTAAAATTTAAAGTTAGAATGGGACATTCTGCATCCTACATACTGTTCCTATAATATTAATCAAAAAGAAAAATTTGACTCCTTGACATCTTGGGGCGTCACAAATTAAAATAGTTGTTCTAGAGAGAAAAATTTGTCCATCAAATATAAATTATAATAAATATTAAATAATTATTCAATTAAATATTAGAAAATTAATAATTAAATTTTTAAATATAACCATTTTTTGTAAACATCGAATAGAAACAAAAAATAAATTGTTTACAAAATAATTAGAGAAAAACAACGTGTTCTTTAAGGAAATTGTAAAATAAATGTTCGTTCAAATCATATAATTTTGAACTCGTTTAGATATAAAAACGATATTTATCTTAAAGGAAAAAGAAAATAACCCGTATTTTTTATCACGTCAATTGCATTTGAAAACAGGCTTTTTAATCATGTATATAAATTTTATAATAACAGTTTTGTGAAATAGTATTTAAGGTGAGGGATAAATTTTTTTTTTCATAAATGCGGTACAAGTGATTTTAGATTTTTAAAATACAAAATTTGCATTTGTATTCGTAAAATAATTGTGTTGACTAAATTTTTTTGTTTAAATAATGGAATTTTATTTCGTTTGGAAATTATGTTTTTTCGTCCTGGGTGCATTGACACAATTTTCGGTTGCGTAAGTTTTACCACTCGAAAAAGAAAAAATCGTATTTCTTTGGAGAAAAATTTTATTATTATATTCATTTCTTGAATTAAATTATTTGATGTACTAATTATTAATTATTTAGTTAATTAATTATTTATTATTGTCATTTTTATAAATGACAGAATTAATTCGATTGATAAAAATAAACGGAAATTAACAATTTATTTTCAGAGCTCCGAACGATTATGACTTTTTATTATTTGCCCAACAATGGCCATTGACAACGTGCATGCAAAATGGAAAACAACGAAATCAATGTAATATTCCTCATAATGATTGGACGGTACATGGAATTTGGCCATCAAAAAATGCACCGGCAAGAGGTCCCGAAGAATGTGATAGACGCAATCAACTTAGAGTGCAAAATTTGGCAAATATACGATCACAACTTGAAAGAAGATGGTTGAATGTTCTCAGCAATAATGCAGAGGGTTTTTGGAGTTGGGAATGGAAAAAGCACGGGACATGTTCATTGAATTTACCAGCTCTGAATTCACAGAATAAATATTTTAATCAAGGATTAACGTGGAATAGGAATTACGTAATAGGAAATATTCTTAATAATGGTGGTGTTAGACCTGGAGGAAGTTATACTTTGCAGAATATTCAAGCTGCTCTCAGAAGAGGTTTGAATAATGTTACACCACAAATCTCGTGTTTTAAGGTGAGAGGATTTAAACTTTCTGATAAAAATAGTGTATAATTTTTTTGTATTTTATTTGAATTTTTATAGTTTTTTATTTTTTTATCCTTTAACATTTTTATTTTTATATTTGCTTTTTATTTTTAAATAATAATTTTATTTTAATTATAATAATTTAAGTATATAGTGATTAAAATCTGTTATTCAATTGTGTAAAATATTTTTGTACTGTTGTATTTTTATTTTTATAATTTTATTTCTATACTTTTAATACATATTATAATTAATAACTTTACTTTTCTGTCTTATTTTATAGAGTGGAAACAGACAATTCTTACAAGAAATAAGAATTTGCATTAGCAAGAATTTACAATTAATTAACTGTGCTGGACACACGTCAGACACAAACTGCAATCGTCGATCAAATATCGAATATCCCGCATGATTAAGACTGCAAATAATTTTAATATTTCATTTTTTTTTTTATTTCTATTTAAATTATAAAAAAATATCAACGAGAACATCAATTACAATACAGTAGTAAAACAGTTTTCGAAGTACTTTCTACTTTTTTAACACATGTAATTTTTTTATCTGATTTATTTTTATTTCGAATTAATTTCTAGTTTTCTATTCTTTTATAATTATAAAGTTTATGTTTCTAATTTTTTTGAGCGAATAACCCAGTGGGCACAGGGACGTTTAAAAGACGTTTTCAAGACGTCCTTTTTTGTCCGCGGACGATTCGGGGACAATGATGGCAATGTCTCTAAGTCATCAAAAAGACAACTAAAAGACGTTCTATGTCTGGTCCAAAAGACGTCCAGAAGACGTCTAAAAGACATAAGAAAAGACGTCTAAAGTACGTCTAAAAGACGTCTAAAAGACAAAAAGGGACGTCCTTTTTACATTCCTTCAGATCTTAAACAAACATTTCTTTTATAACATTTTCTAAGTTGAAATTCAGTAACATTGTATTAAATTTATTTTAAGTTTAATTTTATTTTTTCTAAAATGTGGAGAAATAATGAAAAAATTCCTACGAAGCTGGGATCGAACTCGGATACCTTGGGCTTGAAGCACTGCGCCTTAAGCACCTCAGCCGTTCAAGAGAGATATGAACCTCTACAAAGTTATCGATCTCCCTTGTCAATGAAATGAATTCAACTTAGAAAAATTCTAATGAATTTCACATTCATAAATTTCTAAGTCCAAGTTGAACTTAGAAAATAATATTTTCTATTTATGAAAATTTTTCTATTTTCAAATGTTGAATGAAAAAGACGTCTTTTAGACACTTTAAAGACATCTAATGGCCAAGACATAGAACATGAATAGGACGTCTTTAAGACGTCTTTTTGTACAAGTCCAAAAGACGTCCGCAAAAAGACATCCTTAGGACGTCTTTTGAACAAGTGTGCCCACTGGGAAAATGCAAATTATTAGTTTTTCTTTTGTATGGAATTTTTAAAAGTTCGTGAACTATTTTTCAAAATACAAAACGAATTTTTTTTGTATATTTACCTATACTTATTTACTTATTGGATAATTAAAAATTATTGTTTTACAAATATTAATTGTACTTCTAAAAAATTACTAAAAAAAATTTAAAAAAAAAATTACTAAAATTACTTTTAAATTTATAGGTATTTTCTCTCTTTGATTATATTAAGAAATTATTTGATGCACGAATCTCTAATTAAAAAGGCCTTTTGAAGTTAAATTGTTTGGAAATAATGTGCATTTGATTAAAAAAAAGTGCAAGTGTATTAACAATCAGATTACACTTCGCTATTATCTATTTTTATAAACAAAAAATGCTAAGGCTAATCTTATGGTAAATTTGTAATTAAATACAATGTATGACAAATTACATAGTTGAGAATAAACAATTGCCAATGTGGTAATAAAATAAAATATCATTTACATATAAATTCCGATTTATATTAACATTTCAATTCTGATTAATATTTACATAAAAATTTAGTTATTTCGTTTTCTTATTATATCGTCAAATAAAATTTTTTCCAGATGATTAATTATTTAAAATTTAGATATAAGCAGAAACAAAAGAAATAAATAAAGGAAATATTTTACGGCCAAAAATTATGCCAATCTTTAAAAAGTATATAAAGTCACGGATTTTTTTAAATTTCGTATACCAAAAATATTAATTTCACTCTTTTAATTTTTTTGAATCTTCAATAATGGATTTTTGTTACACTGGGAAATTATTTATTCTTCTGGTTGCTTTTGCAGAATTTTCAAATGCGTGAGTATAATATTTATACATAAGACTTTTGGGAAAATTGGTTTAACTATTTTAATTTCATTTAATTTACAGTCATTTTCAATACATGTTTTTTGTATTTTTATTTAAAAATAATTTCTTACTTTTCAACAAATATTTATTAGATTGTATGTAACACCTGAAGAGGACACCAACGTTGGTGTCAAAACGTCGTGAAACTTAAAATAAAAATATTTTACTAATATTTATATTATTTATATTTAAAATTTCTTACGGTTGTATATAAATAAATAAATAGATAATTATAGTGTTGATAGATAAGAAAATAATAATAATAACAACAATAATTAATTATTATAATAAGTACCCAGTGGGCACAAAGACGAAAAACGTTCTTTAAACGTCTGTAGAACGTTTAATGTCTGCCAATTTATGTTTTAAGAACGTCCGACTGTTCCAAAAATGTTTCGGAACATTCGGATGTTCTTTGAACGTAAATTGTCAGACATTAAACGTTCTACAGACGTTTAAAGAACGTTTTTTGTCTTTGTGCTCACTGGGTATTAACTACTACATAAAAATAATGGAAAATTTCTGCATTTAATAAAAAAAACGCAAAAATTTCAGGGATAGTGATTACGATATTATATTGTTCAATCAACAGTGGCCAAAAACAACATGTTTACAAAATGGAAAGAAATCAAATCAATGTAATATTCGAAATTATGCTTGGAGTATACATGGAATTTGGCCAACAAAAAATTTTCCCGGCAAATATCCTGAAGATTGCGATAATTATCAACCGTTTAATGTGAAAAATTTATGGAGTATAAAAAGAGAGCTTGTAGATAAATGGTACAATATTTTGCCTGATAAAGTAGAAAATTTTTGGAGATGGGAATGGAAAAAGCACGGAACATGTTTATCGGATTTGCCAGCATTGAATACCCAATATAAATATTTTCATCAAGGATTACAGTGGAGTAAAAATTACGTAATTGGAAATATTCTCAGCAGTAGCGGTATAATAACGGGAAAAAGTTATTCTTACAAAGAAATTCAAACAGCTCTTAAAGATAGTTTGAATGTTACACCTCAAATTTATTGTTACCAAGACAGGGTGAGCAATTTTTTAATAGAATACTTTTATTTTAGATTTTTTAAATTTATTTTTAGTTTAATTTTTTTTCTATAACTTTTTTTATTTTTTATTGTTTTTGTCTTTTATTTATTGTAGGTATTCCATTACGATTTTCTTTTTGTACTTTTAATTTTATTTTAGTTTCTTTTTTAAGTATACATTTGTATTTTCAATATTTAAAAATAGAAATACACATTTTAAATAATAAATTTACTTTCTTTACAGTTTAGTAAAAAACAATTTTTACACGAGGTCAGAATTTGCATGGATAGGAGTTTGCAATTAATCGATTGTTATGGACACGTGTCGGAGACAAATTGTAATCGAAAATTAAATGTTGAATATCCCAGTCTTTAAAATAAATATGAGGAGGGATATATGATTCCGAAAACGTCCCCCCTCCGATTTTAATAAAACTTGATGGTATCCTTATATGTATTTTGATGCGCTGATCACGAAAATGATATTGAAAATTGTCGCAAATTTTATTTTCATGTTAAAAACCATAAAAGTGAGGTTTTTGCGTTTAACTAGTAAAAAAATGTAAAATTTCGAATAATGATTCAAACAAAATATATAGATTCCATATAAAAATATACATTTTAAATTTTCTGTTTTTTTCTAAAACTGTTAGTTTCAAGAATAATGTAAAAAACCATAAAATACGATAAAAACTAGTTAAAATATTCTTTAACCTAAAAGGACATCCAATTTTAACAAAATACAGTTTCTTTATGTATTTTGATGCCCTGATCACAAAAATGATTATACAATGGTACAATTTTCAATTACCTAATTGCAAAATTGGAAAAAAATTCCTTGTTCCTAGATGCTTTTTCTAAGAAGTTACCAAATAACAACAACCCAGTGGGCAAAAAACCATCATTGTTTTAAAAACGTTCCAAAAACGTTTTTAGAACGTTTCATGTCTGCAAAATAATGTTCCAAAAACGTTCCATTGCTTTTAAAACGTTTTAGAACCATATAAAGTTCTTGGGACGTTATTTAGCAGACATGAAACGTTCTAAAAACGTTTTTGGAACGTTTTTAAAACAATGATGGTTTTTTGCCCACTGGGAATTTTTTGTACTTAAAATCTCGAAAACCCCTAGTCTAGGTAACCCAGTGGGCAAAAAACCATCATTGTTTTGAAAACGTTCCAAAAACGTTTTTAAAACGTTTCATGTCTGCTAAATAATGTCCCAAAAACGTTATATAGTTCTAAAACGTTTTAAAAGCAATGGGACGTTTTTGGAACATTATTTTGCAGACATGAAACGTTCTAAAAACGTTTTTGGAACGTTTTTAAAACAATGATGGTTTTTTGCCCACTGGGACCAAACTTCGTAAAAAGTAAACAATCATTTTAAAAGAAGTATAGGTACCTTTGCAAGTAAATTTGTGACCCATCTTCTACTTTTTACAATATATTTAATACTTTGTTTATCCCTCGAAGAACACACCTCTTTTTTAGACTATTTTTCAAAGCTCAAACAAATTTAAACTGCTCATCTAATCAAGCTAAAGAATTTTTTTAATCATAGTTTAAACTCTGTAGAATAAGTCTGTATACTTGAAAGTCCTTATGAAAAATATTTAAAAAAGATAAAAAGCTTTTCGTAAAAAAGCGTGAGGTCAAAAAGACCCCATGTGTTCTCCGAAGGTTATTAACAAATACTTTAAATGAAAACTTTCTGATATATGGGTTACAAACTATGAACTTTATTATGCTGTAAGTTGCACTTTGTTTCATGTGTTAAAGTTAATTTGGTTAAAAGTTATGAGAAAAAATATTTGGATAAGTATAATCGTCCTCGTGCATATGCGATAACAACTTAGTTTAGACGAGTAGACTCCCCACATAGCACCGAATATTTCCTGAAACTCGTCAGGACCTCGTTCAGTGAGGTTAGAAACATTGAGTCGCGATCATCATGAGAGATTGTGTGTATGTTCAAATGTCCACATAAACAGAATATTAAATATCAACCTTCAGCAAAAACTAAACTCCAAATATTGACTTGCGATGTTCGGTCAATATTGTATCAATATTGAATGTGATTTTCGCATAGTTATAAAAATTTCGTTTAATAATTATACACGTATAAACCAATACTGTCTGAATATTGACTAAACATCGCAAGTCAATATTTGGAGTTTATTTTTTGCTGAAGGTTGATATTTAATATTCTGTTTATGTGAACATTTGAACATCCACACAATCTCCCATGAAGATCGCGACTCAATGTTTCTAACCTCACTGAACGAGGTCCTGTCGAGTTTCAGGAAATCTTCGGTGCTGTATGGGACGTCATAGTACGCAGGAGGGATAACACAGCACAGGTGTCTATAACACCTGAAAAACCGGGAAATGGCAGAAAATTAAAATTGTCCTGAAAACCTGGAAATGTCCGGGAACTTTTTTCATCATTTCCCATCTGCATTTCAATTCTATTTTTATAAATAATATGAAACACAGACATATAATCACATAAAAAAAGATTGACCACTTAAAATTCTGGAAGATCAAAAGAAAAGAGTCATCCCAGTGGGCACACTTGTTCAAAAGACGTCCTAAGGATGTCTTTTTGCGGACGTCTTTTGGACTTGTAGACGTCCTATTCATGTTCTATGTCTTGGCCATTAGATGTCTTTAAAGTGTCTAAAAGACGTCTTTTTCATTCAACATTTGAAAATAGAAAAATTTCCATAAATAGAAAATATTATTTTCTAAGTTCAACTTGGACTTAGAAATTTATGAATGTGAAATTCATTGGAATTTTTCTAAGTTAAATTCATTTCATTGACAAGTGAGATCGTTAACTTTGTAGAGGTTCATATCTGTCTTGAACGGCTGAGGTGCTTAAGGCGCAATGCTTCAAGCCCAAGGTACCCGAGTTCGATCCCAGCTTCGTAGGAATTTTTTCATTATATCTCCACATTTTAGAAAAAATAAAATTAAACTTAAAATAAATTTAATACAATATTACTGAATTTCAACTTAAAAAATGTTATAAAAGAAATGTTTATTTAAGATCTGAAGGAATGTAAAAAGGACGTCCAAAAGACGTCTTTTAGACGTACTTTAGACGTCCTTTCTTATGTCTTTTAGACGTATTTTGGACCAGACGTAGAACGTCTTTTAGACGTCTTTTAGTTGTCTTTTTGATGACTCAGAGACATTGCCATCATTGTCCCTGAATCGTCCGCGGACAAAAAGGGACATCTTTGAGACTTCTTTTAGACGTCCCAGTGCCCACTGGGATATTGACAAAGCTACCAAAAAATCTGCACGAATTGAAGCAGAAATAATGCCATTGAAAAAATTCGTTTCTTAAAATAAGTCGATTTTTTTAAAATACATAATTGTTCTTAAAAATGTTTATTTTAGAAGTCCCGGTAAACCTGGAAAAGTTAGGGAATTTTTTTTCAGATTAGTTGTAGGCATCCTGTTAAATAATAAAACAGTATTTTCGTTACTAAACGGAAAGGCAAACCCTTCAAGGAAGAGGTATATGCAAAACCCGAAATTCAGGCAATTCGCGAAATGCCTGAGCATTTTCCGAAATGACTAAACTTTTCAGGAATTATCCTAATTTCCTAGAGATTGATAGGCATTTCCCGAATTTACCAGGCATTTCGTGAAATGCCCAAGTTAATTTAGGAAAATTGAAAAGTTAAAAATCTTCACATGAACCTAGTACATTTTTTAGATCATCCTCTATGTGAATATTTTTTAATACTTCGCTAGACAATTTAGAACTACAAAGGCCTACTTTCGGATCAAACCCAAACATAGCTTTAAGGGACCATCCATAAACCACGTAGCCTGCTTTGGGGAGAAGGGGGTTCGGTAATGTGCTACGTTAGACCACATGGAGGGAAGGAGGGTTTTGAGTCTGAGCAACGCAGCTTTGTATTTTTATTTGACATACATTTCTTTGAAATTACGCGGGTAGCTCGAAAGTCAATTCGAGAGATATATGTGGACGTCCACATGAAAAGGGCCCATTTTGGCACTATTAGAGTTATCTATATGGGCGTATTTCTGGCAAAATTTGGAAAATTTTGAGTGGTCTTAGAACTTCTTTGGTTACAAATTTGCTGAGTTACGGAATTTAAAAGTTTAGAACGCCAAAAACCTCATTTCGAGAAAAACGGTTTCCTTGAAGATAAAAAACAGGTTTTAAATTTTTAAAACCATCCCCCCTCTATCATCCCCCTCTATCATCCAACACTCAAGCATATATTCTATGGCTTGGTTTACTTTATCAACAGATCCTTGGCCCTGGCTGTGTCTGGGTTTTCCATAAACGATTTTTAACTCAGTCCATAAAGATGCCAACTCTGTAATTATGCGGTTGACAAATTCGCGACCATTGTCAGACTGTAAAATGTTCTCTCGATAACTTGCCATGTTCTCGTATGTAACAAATTGTAATACCGTTGCACCCTTAATAAATTACCATCCCAGTGGGAAAAAAAACCATTATTGTTTTAAAAACGTTCCAAAAACGTTTTTAGAACGTTTCATGTCTGCTAAATAACGTCCCAAAAACGTTATATGGTTCTAAAACGTTTTAAAAGCAATGGAACGTTTTTGGAACATTATTTTGCTGACATGAATGAAACGTTCTAAAAACGTTTTTGGAACGTTTTTAAAACAATGATGGTTTTTTGCCCACTGGGATGCTTCTCGACATTGCGTTTACTCTCAAACAATCGTGCGTCGCACGTTAGTCGCACGATAAGAGTCGCATTATTTGCGGGAATTCATGCGCCTTAATTAGTTGCATTTTCGTTGCGCGAAGTATCCAAAAAACGTTGCACGTTATGACTGCACAATCATACAATAAATTACCATCATTGTCCCCGAATTGTCCGCGGACAGGAAGGGACGTCTTTTAGACGTCCCTGTGCCCACTGGGCAGTTAGTTTGACCATTGGGTCTCTAGCTAGTACACTTGTGTTCATCGATGCCTTCTCTCAGGGAAGGCACAAATTTGACGAGTTTTCCCTACTTTCTATATTCTTTATAGTTCGCGTCAATAATGTCAACAGAATTCTGCTTTTCCATTGGCTGATTTTTTAGACAGTATAGAAGGTAGGCAAACTTCGTGAAATTAGTGCCTTCTCTGGTAGAAGGCATCGATGTGCACGAGTGTACCATATGGAGTCTTGATGCTTCTGATACTCTTTCAATTCCCTCGCAAAAACTCCGCCAGCTAATACCCCGTGCCTTCTGTACCTCTTTCTTGTAAGAATTACGAGCAGCATGATATTCATCCCACGATTGCTGATTCTTACGTTTCTTGGCTTTGTTAAAAAGCTTTCTTACTGTTTGCCTATGTCCCTCAAAACAGGAGTTCCACCATTTACTACCCCTGTTGGAGTCCACTTTTTTGGCTACACAGCTTCTTTCAAAAGAGCAGATAATCGAATCTCGCAGATATTCCGCTGCGAGTTCCAACTCTTTATATGTTCCATACGAGGTGAGGAAGCACTCCATAGAGGCCTTGAGGTCCTCAATATATGAAGCTCAATCAGCACTCCTAAGATTACGTCCCCATTTATGTTCCCGATCTTTCGATTCC